TATGCCGATGCAACTCCCTGGCCTGAATAAACGATACTGATGTATAATAGTATTTGCATGAGGAGTCACACAAATTAACTCGTTGGTACAGAAACAGGCATGTTGCTCAGCTGGAATAAGCTGTGCGCTGAAAGCTCCTGGGATTAGGCAGAGTGCAGGATCAAAAATGCCCAGTGGTAAGCAATCAGCTCTTTCCTCCTTCAAAGCTGCCCATTGTCCTGCCAGCAGCCAGAGACGTGCGATAGAGAGAGGAGAACTGTGGCAAACACTCCCCTAAGGCTTTCCATAACGTCCCTCCATGGACTGGGCTCAGAGTCACATCCCTGCTCCCAACACGCCGAGGGACAACTGTTCCCAAACCTATGCCAGGGCCCGGCTGTTCCCACACCCTGCCCCAACATCACATCATCCCCAGCTCCCTGGCACGGGATTTCCTGTGTTTATTCACCCGTAACGTGGGATAACGATACCTTCTTGTAGGGTATTCCCAGGCGTAGTTAATTCATGTTTATAAAGCACCTGTGGACTCTTCCTGCAAGTGCAAAAGCCTCAATGCCAAACAAAACCAACCTCATTCCTGTCCTGCTACATGAGGAATTTCCCAACCTTTGCCTTTCCTGGGGTTACTCTCCCTATCACAAAGGCCTTAATTAACACCTTCTCTTAATAATTTTGCAAGTGGTTTTATTTCTTTTAACAGCACCATTGCATTTTTACTCATCTTTCAGAGTACCTCGCATGGCTGGTAATCTGTCCATTCCTTGGGATTTTCGCATTACTTAATTCCTTGTCTTTGTTTGGGGAGGGGGGGGAAAGAAAGAAAGAAAATTGACAGGGGTGAGGAATGATGCTCTGTCGACTTCATGAGACATAACAGATACCTCACTCATCTCAGGGGTCAAATGTCCACGATGGTTTGATCAGATGTCAAGTTGCATTTATACTCTGGCCTCTGTTGGAGGTTGAATTACATTTCACATTTGACTCACTTCTGGGGTCAAATGTCCCTCCTATTTGATAGAACAAGAGGAATTATTTTCCCCAAGCAGGCTGTGCCGTCGTGAGTCTGGATCTGTCAGCACTCTCATTATGTTTTAGGCTCCTGTATTTCTGCATTGTGTTCTCAGCTGAGATGAACCCTTTTTGGGTTGACGAGAAATGCAGCCAATAGCACATAAGCAATCACATCCAGTAAGATGAAGAGAGGGAGCAGATCAGCTGGCTTTCAGATGGTTTTGATGGTGTTTTGTTTGGTTTTTTTTTGGGGGTGGGGGGTTCTTCCTCTCCCAAGTCAGCAGCTCTGCAGGGTATGGAGGGATGAAGAAGAGCGAAGAGGACCCCGGTCCTGGCTTTACCATGCTCTTGCCATGAGATACTGCAGAAGCTCCTTAGGATCAAAAACTATAGAAGGGGCTGAGATAAGGCTGAGTTCAAAGTGCTGCAGGATTGTGACGCTGTACAAGGACTGCTCAGCACAGGAGCTGCCCTAACCGCACTGTCTCTGCAGCTCCAGTTGTAAAATGAGAATAATCTTATCTGTGTGATGGGAAAGGATGACTCAAGAGCTTAAGCAGATGCTGGATCTCTGGGCAGAAAGTGTAAAGCATTGCACTGACAGTCAGGAGCCATTTAAACCTGCCTGGCTTTAAACCAGGGTGGGGGGGAGAGGTGATAAACTGAATTCTGCTTTCCACGTAACTCCTTCTAGGTATTTTGAAAGAAAAATCGCAAGGCAATACAGAATTTTCTATAACAAAGACTATCGAACTTCTTCCATCTGTGGACCCCTAAAAATTTTCCAGCTGAAATGAGGCCACATACACAGATTAACTTCTTGCTCTCCCAGCCCTTCCCACCCCCCTCGAAGCATGGAGGGGCTGGAAGCCCTCGCGCAGGACCGGGGGATTTCATCATGACAGTCTCACCCCATGGCATCACAAGTGTGCTGGTACCAGGGGAGCTCACTGCGTAGCATAAAACGGGTAAATAAGCAAGTGTGCCCTAAAACAAGCAATGTGAAGCTAAGATTTCCCACCATTAATGCTGGACGTCCCAGCCCTGCGCCCAAGCTGGGCTCAACATGAAGCTGTGTCTGCTGCCTAGAGCTGCAGGTGCCTAATGGTGCCCAGTGCAACCAGTTTAAGACAAAAATGGGGAAAAAAACCCAACCCACCAGGCCCATCTATTACAGTGTGATGGCTTCAGTAATTAGTGTGTATGATTTGTCTGTGCCCCCAAGGATCCCAAGGGCTGAGCGATATCCCGCGTGCGCTGTGCAGGCATCTCGGGGCCGGTGATTTAGCAGCCTCTCAAGCGGGATTGTGAAACTGCGCTCCTGCTGTTTATGGTACTCGTTCAGGTTACAACAGGTTTAGCAAACAATAAAAAACATCTGGAACCCCCATTTAAATAGAAGAGTTGTGTTATTAGTAATGAAGTCATGACCAGTGCTATAAAGCGCTCTCTGGTAAACAAGCGCTGATGTGCAGGTAAATAAAGGGAGAGGATGAACTAGTGAGGGTGAGGGAGGAAGGCTGCTCCCCGTCTTCCCTGGCCAAAGCTCATGCTGGGTGTGAACCATCACTAATGTCCTTGCAGGGCATGAACCGTGACTCTCGCCATTCCTCCCCGCTCCCCTCCTTCCGCCTCGGGCAAGGTTATGGGGGTCACTGCAGCATCCCACGGGGGCTCCCACCCCAGAAGAGCCCCGGGTGCCACCCCGCGCCCTTGCACCCCTTGGTCCCAGCTCCTCTCTGACCATCCTGAACATAGCAGCACAAGGGGGGGAGCTGGAGATGCAAGACGAGACAAACTTCCCCCTCTATTTTCCATGTTGGTCTCCATTCCCCATAGAGCTTTTGCTCCAGGAGGTAAAGCAGGAGCACGGCCCGGTGCACAAACCCATCCCTGTAACAGGGGGTACCTGCCCCTGCCCACCCTCTGCCAAGAGAAAGCGACTTTCTCCCTTTTCATCCTTAACCGGTATTTCAAAATAGGAAATAAAAGTCACCAAGTAAATAGAGAACAAATGAAGAGCAAACTTCTATTTCCCAGGTTACAGGGATCTACGCTGGTTTGGTTTCTCCTTCTCCTAGGTTCAAACAGTACATGAATCCTCCATCACATGATAGCCTCTATTTTTATTCAGAAGTCGGCTCTCCTCCTCCTCAATCGTGCTGCAGCAAGCCATTCCCCACCCAGCAGCATCAGTTCTGATTTCTCTCCAGCTGCCCACCCGTGGGATGTGACAGGGGCTGTGAGGCGATTTCTGTCAACATAGAGATGGAAACGCAAATGCTTCCCGTTGGCCGCGGTTCAGCTCCAGGCCAGTCCAATCCTGCCAGCCAGGGAATGCGTCTGGCCACTGAGCCAGTGCCACCAGCCCTTCCCGAGGAGGCTGTGAAATGGTCATCCCTTGGGAATTTTTAAAGGCAGAGTATTTAAGACAACTGTCCCCTTTAGCATCCAGCACTTGCTCGTAGGCTCTGCACAGCCCGGAGAAGCACAGCGGGTGGGAGGGCACGGGGCTGACCCCCAGCCAGGGCAGCTTGGGGTCACCCCTCTCCTTTCTGCGTTTATTCATTCTCTGGCCATTCCTGGTCGTAATGATCAACCACATGCCGTTGTTGATAGACTACATATTTGTTTCTGCTGAATCACTTGATAGCACAAAGTTTGCGGTTCCTTCCCCACCCTCTGGAAACCCTTCTCACGCGAGAACAGCCCTCTCCCCACGCCCCGGCGGCAGTGGCTTCGCGTGCCATCTTTGAAAGCTAGAGCAGGAACAACTCTCCCGAGCAACGAGCCAACGCACTGCCGCAATCTAAGAAGGCAAACAACAGGTTTTCATCCTGTTTTCAGTTTAATATGCATATATTTTAATTGCCGCCGGTATCTGAGTTAGATACTGAGTTAGATGACTCACTAGCCTTGTAATTCATAGCGATGCTGCGGTAAGTACCAAACCCCAGCAGCAGGAGCACACCGTAACCTCGCGCCAGGCCCCACACACCGGGTCCAGGGAAATAGGAAGCTGGCAACATCTTGGGCCGGATGGAAATTATCGCACGGCCACCTTTCAAATTTTGCAACGCATCAACTTCACATGACATAACCCTGCACAGCCCATGATGCACGTGGCTGCGGTCAACAGGACCCCACAATGAAACGGCCCAACACAGCCAAAAATATTAGTGATGAACTTGCACTTTCCCTCACGAGGCAGCAGGATGCGATGAGATGCTTAGCCCCGAGGGTGCAGCATCAGGCACCTCAAAGATGCACCAAGTCCCCAGCATGCTCTGGCCATGCCAGGCCAGCTCAGAGGGACGCAGACAGGACCATCTCTCATCTCCTGGTCAGGAAGACAGGTAAGCACGTGCTGAAGTCCTCACCTCACAGCAGGACCTAAGCATGGGCTTAACTTTATATATGTTTAGGGCTCCACTAAATGGACATTTCTGTTTCATGTGTATTCAAGCCAAGAGAGAGCCCTGAAGGCTCAGGCACCTGTGAGATGTGAGCACTTCTATTCTGGTCCTCACGTGTGGGTTTATAGCTCCAAAACAGGAAACCTTTGATTCCTTTTTCTCCCCAAGCCGGCTAACTGTTAATCTCTTTAGGTACAGGAAATACTCTACGTGAGGGAAGGAGACACCTGAACTACACACAATACTTGGAAACCTCACTGCATCCAGAAACACCAATTGCACCTTCATTTCAAGTGAAGCATGCCTCGTTGGAGAGCCGTGGCTAAGCCGGTCTCCGGCGACACGCAGCAGCACAGGCACGCAAGCGCATCCCTCTCTCCATACCAAGTGCATCCACTGCTGCTCCTTGGCAGCAGACAGGTTGGCAGACAGCTCTGACCTCCTCCGTGGACCCTCCTGATGTCCCAGGAGTGCAGATTCGTGAAGAGCTCCTAGAATTCGTGCTTAGGCAAAGCCTAAGTCCCCTAGAAAATCTATCCACACTGCCCACCCAAGCAAATCAACGCTTACCTGATTTGCCGATAGAAACTCCTGGGCGTTGTCATTCATTCCCATGTACATGTTCTCCCCATCAAACTAGAAAGACAAAAGAAAGTTAGAGTTAGTGAAATGTCATCTGCGTGCCAAACTATGTTATGTGCATCCCAAGTACTTCCCTGGCTCTTCATGCCAAAATTCTCAGAAGAAAATCCTGAGCTGCTCCTTTAAAACTTTCGAGCATGTATGAGCACACACACATCACTGTTATTGCAATGGGCCATGGTAACATAGCACATTTATGTTAATTTTTTTCAGCAAAATAATGAACGAATCGCTCCAGTTCAAACAAACCAAACCTGTGCAAAACCACAGATCTACCCAGCAGCAAAGATCACCCAAATGAATTCTTGCCCAAATTCCCACTAGATCAATCAATCAGCTTTAAAAAGCCAATTTCCACTGATGGAAATTTCCAAGACAGGCAGGTCCCATTCAGTCCTCTTCCAGACACCTTCATACTCCTTAACCACCAAAGCAAACCTACACCAGCAATGCAGAAAGTCACTCCAGACCATACACGAGGGGGTCTCTATGCAAAGCCTGATTCCCCATCCTGCCAGTTTGCTGTTGTTTGCAAACTCTGGCTGCAAGAAGGCACATTTCCCCCATCTCCTCTTCCCCTGCCTGCTCTGCCAGGACTCGGCCTCCACAGCTGGGCAGGAGGCAGGGCAGCCCGAGCACAGTGCATTCGCCTGTGCCCCCGTGGCTCCTGCAAACACGCCTGCCCCCTTCACCCAGTTCTGAACTGCTAATCCACTTATTAGGCTAGAAAACCCCCATGGAGAACTGCAAAACTCTTCTCATTAATTAGCTACAGCGGGAGCTTTTCACTTGCTCCGATTCCAAACGAAGGAAAAAAGTCCTCCAGGATTGTCTCTGGCTCGAAGTATGGCTGGGGCAGTTCTCAAGGCTAAGTTCACAAATTAATTATGGCAATAAAATGGGCTATGCAATAAAACACTCCCGAGACAAGGATGAAGGTACCAGCTGTGAATGACACCATCTACTTAACAAGGGGAAGAGCCAACCCTCTTGCCCTTACAAGCCAGATGATGAATTGAAGATTGTTCACCCCTTGTGTGTCCTCTCGCTCTCCCATATGAAGCTGATACCAGTTATGCCTTAACAGAAATGGGTCATATTAAGAAGAATAAAAGAGAAATCTAAATAAAACGAGGTGAAGATTTTCAGTGTAGATTATTAATTACACTTCCATTTCTCAGTGCTACAGGATTAGCTATTAAAACCAGCAGAGTTAGTAAAGCTAAGTGGGGGTAACATAGCTCTGCTCAGCATCAGAGTGCACAGACACCCTCTAATTGCCAAACTATCCTCTGGGATAGCACAGCAAACCAATTAAAAGCAGCAAAATTAGAGCAGGTATTGTGACACTTATTAACTGATACTGATAGCAGCCGCAGCAGGGTGGAAGGGGATCCCTGCACAAATGCAGGATTTCGTTAAACCCATCAGTGAGGCAGGAGCCGTGGGATGCAGCAAGCATCAGCAGCCCTATGGGCTTGCCAGGACAAGCAGCCCTCTCAGAAGCCAGCCGGGTGCTATCCACTTTAAAATGAATTTCCCTCCACCCGTAAGATGATCGCTGGCATAGCCAGGCTCCTGCTAGCACGGTTCCAGCTGGAGCTGCCGTGCTTCCAGGCACGGAGACTCAATCAGCTCTACAGCCTAAATACCCTCTGCCAACCCGACCAACCCCGGCGGCGAAGGCTGAATTTGCAGAAGAGGCGGCACAGTTTGGTGGAGATGCTCAGCCCTGTGGCAGTGGGACCCAGGCCCTGCGGGGGGAGCCAGTCTCTGACTTGGCATGGGCAGCAGCATGGTTTTGGGGAGTCGGTCTTTTTGGAACAGGCAAAATTATGGTCCTGAGGTCCCACTACCAAGCTCTTTTTGGGACCACCCCACCAAAAACCATCAGGTGGATCCTGGAGCCTGAGCAGACCCCCCAAGGCTGTGCACCATATGGATGTAGGGCCCTTTCTGCTGGTCCGATCTGCAGTGCCAGAGCTTTGCGGCAGGTCGGCTGCACAGACATGCTGTGTGGCACTGTGGGAACCTTAAAAACTATTTCATCTTGAGATGGCACTGAGATGAGGCAGGTGAGCCACACAGGAGCGTTCCAGCAAGCAGCCCTGAAGAGAGAGAAAATATTCCAGTGGGGAGATAGTTCTGTCCATCCCTGGAACCAGTCAGAAATTTGCCCTGCAGAAATACTGACTTCCACATCAGGAAAGGAAGAGCCCTTTCTTAAGTAAAAGCTTTGCCCCTCTGAGAGATTTAAATACACATCCATCCATCCATCCATCCATCCCCCTTCCTCGCACACAGGTGCGTCATTTTTGTCCTGCTCCAGTGCAGTATTTTGCAGATCTAGACTGTTTGAAACAACTCTTCTCCAGAAAACAAAAGTCACCTGGAAATCTACATTCAGAAAACAAAAAGTATCTTTCACCGGGGAGGTCCAGGGCCGGAGAAGCACTCTGCTTTCTCTATATCATGCTGTTTGTCAGCATGTATTTTTTTATGGCTTTCTACCATTCCCCTACCTCTGCGCCACACTTCCTTGTGCCCTTGATGCCTTCATAATAACTGTAATGAATCCTGCCTTCAAAATTACTGTGCCTCTGATTGCCAGTCTGAGCAGTGAGCCTGAAAATCAAGACTTGAAATGCAATGGAAACTTTGGAACTTCCGTGCTGCTGATTGGATTTTTTTCCTCTCCTCCAGGCTAGGAGGGTGCAAACAAATTTATTACAAATTCTCCCATCAGGATATTTTTTCAATTAGACATTTGCCACACATACACCATCCAGGTAGAGCAGATAAGTAATGTGCTCTCCCTCTTCTCATTATTGTTTCACTACAGAATGCACTTCAAAACAATCAGCCCCATCATTCCAGGTAGATTTATGGCAGAAACAGACATTTTAATATTTCCCTTTGGTTACAAACGTTTCCTCCCTTTTCGCTATGGTCTAACTCCCGGTGCGCGTCAAGCCTCCCAGGCAGTTCCGGACCTGGGTGCATCCATTCATCACCCTCTGCGCCCCCAAAATTGATCAAACCTGTACTCAACGATGTGCGTATGCGGAGCGGTGGGTATCATTTTCCAGTCCTAATTTGAAAGGAACATACTCTCACGCAGTTGTCTTAATCACCCTTTTGCTCTTTTGTAATTATTTAATTTTTGTTATTCTTTGGCTAATAGAAGCAGCCTATTAAACAAATCAGTGGCTGTGGCTAATTCTCACCCTCGCCTGCGTGAAACGAGTACAAAGCAGAGGTGAGCTGGGATCACTCTCTGCTTACAGCACTCTGCACCCAAGACATGGTGTTGGCTTGAAAACCTGGGAAATGCAAACCCTGTGTAGCCAAGTGGGGAAACTGGGAGAGGTGGGAAGATGCGATTACTTGTTTTTCCTTCATTTGAGACCTGGACCTGTTTTTATCTAACTTGCACTGACTTACATTAGCGATGGTTGCCTACAGGCACAACTAGAATCAAGGACCCAAAAAGGACCCATAAAGCCCTACTTTGCCAAATCCCAACTCAATTTGTCTCACGTAACCCGCTCAGGACAGAAACAACTCTACTCATGCAATTTAAAACAAACAAGCAAACAAACAAACAAACAAACAAAACCCTCAGAGGAAACTGCTCAAATTCCTACCGACTCTGGAAACAAAGGCATGCTGGCAAATGAACGCCAGCAAGCTGCTTTCGTCTGCAGGTGACGTGAACTCCAGCCAAAAGGAAGGGGAGCACAGGTATGACCCAATCTCGGGCCACAGGAGGTGACTTCGCCTGACACCGATGGATAAGCAGACAGACGCTGTCAGCCACATTCAGACAGGGAGTCCCAAGGAAATCCGGGTGACGGACGCAGAGCCGTGCCTCCACGACAGCACCTCTGCATCCAACACGCTACCATGTATTCTGGGTCCAAGCCAAAGATACAAGGACAGTTCTAGTCTAGTTCTTTGTCATGGAGAAGTTACTTAAAAATACAATTCTTCTACTACAGCTCTTCCAGGGGAGCTGTAGCCGGCACCACAGCTCTGGAGGCAGAACGCTGCTGTGTATCCACCAGCCCATACAGGGAGCTGAGCGCAGGCTTTATTCAGATGATGTTCTAGGAAGCACTTTTTTTTATTTTTTATTGCTTTTCTAGACTCACTCTGGTTTGTTATTTTTGCGATACAACATAATTTTCAAACCTGTAAATGCGCCCAGAGGTCATACAGGTCCCATGTTAGTAAGATGAACATGAATAAGAAAAATAAATGCATGCTGCAAGCTGGGACAGACCCCAGAGCAAAGCAGCTGTGTGATCTCCGGCTCTGTGCAAACACAGAGAATAAATGTTTGTTAACTGGGAAGGACCCGGTGGAAAGAAACACAACCTCCTGCCAAGACTGAGAGAAGGTGTTACTTTCTCATGGATGGCACTGCCAGCTTGTACAATTTTATTACGAATCTCATCACATCCTTTTATTTCCTGAGAGTCATAAGCTGAGATGAAAACCTCAACTTTGTAAGAAATATGTTGGCAGCACTCATACCAGCAACGGCTTCAATGACAACTGCAAGATCTCAAAAATCTTCCAAACTTCTTATTTAATTTTATTTTAATTTTTTAAGTGTGGTGGGTTTTGGGTTTGTGTGGGTTTTTTTTGTTTTGTTTTGTTTTGTTTTGTTTTGCAGGGTGTGTGTGTTTCTTACCTAAATTTTAACACTCATTGTTGGCAATACTGGACCACAGCACCTTAACTGCAAGTCCACTGAGGATCTGGAGCTTTTAAAAAGTGGCCTGTTAATGCAAATCCTGTGGTAACTAAAAGCCATCACCATCAAGGAGCTATCAAACACCCTGTGAAGAATGAACTGGATGCTTCCAGTGATTCCTACTGCTCAGGAATAAGCTATAAGCTTATAAGCACTTGCCTCTCCGTTTTGCCTCCTTGTGCCAGGACACAGGCAGCGGGTCCCCTCTCAACCCATG